TTACCCAAATAAAGGCTTCTTTGGAGACAACTTATGGATGTGTCGCGTCACTATATAAATGTATGGGTCTCCATTTTGAAATAAGCAAAATAAGTGTTAAGTAAATCAACAGGAGCCAAAAAGTGATGAAGTAAAGATTAAAATCTAGGCGCTAACTCCAGAACCTGCCACACTTAGCTGGCGGTAAACCAATCAATCTGACTGAGCCTTAAGACAAAGAAATAGAAACTTCCTGCATCCTTGTAATAAGGTATGTTCTACCCATATTTTCCAAACAAAAAAGAAACCTTCTGGAGACGTCCATTATATCTTATCTATGAAAGATCCAGTAGTCTCATGACAGCGAATCTAGGCTTTCGTTTCCCCATCCAGGAACTACTTCCCTACTCAAAAGAAATGGACTGCGTATTCTTTTGGGAGGTTAAGAAAGCCGAAGACATAAGTGTACAATGAGTGTGCGCACGACACTGGCAGAGGACATCAACTGCTTTCTTCAGGACTGACCTCAATTCCAGGACATGTTCGTGTGGATGCCTGCCATCTCTTCCATTTTCTGCTTCACCTGAGCATACAGTTTTGTGCCTCAAAGCGTAGACTCTGCATTGTTCAGCTATAGCGATTACAGTAGAACAGGTACCTCTGCAGGGCTGCCCTAGATCGCTGTCCATTAAAAAATGAGTCAATGTAATTATAAGAGTTTACACAAAAGCTGATATCAAATTAAGATCACAATGAGGTATCACCTCAACCCTTTTAGAATGCTTTACCAAACATAAAGTTAATAACGTGTTCATAAGAATGTAGGAGAAAAGGGAATTCTTGTATATTGGTGGAAATGTAAATCTGTATGCCATTATAGAAATGGTTATGAAAGTTCCTGAAAACTAAACATAAACTACCATATGATCCAGCAATCCCATTACTGGGTATATATGCAAAGGAAATTGAAATCAGACATGCTCAAAGGGAAGATATCTGCCACTCCCATGTTCACTGCTAGCATTTTTCATATATGGTAATTAGGCCATCGTAATAAGGAATCCATCTAAGCTCCATCTAATGGCATGAATGGATAAAGAAACATGTTCATAGATATTTAACTATCACACACAAGGAGATATTATTCAGTCTTTAAAAAGAAGGAAATCCTTTCATTCTGTGACAATATGCGAGTGAACCCAAAAGGTATTATGCAAAGTAAAATAAGGCCAGGCACAAGAAAAGGCCAAACTTGCATGATCTCTACCTTACGTATGTTCATAAACTCAAAATTGATTCCATAGAAGTAAACGAGTATAATGATGGCTGCGGAGTGGGGGAAGAGAAGGGAATGAAGAGTTGTTATTCTAAGGCATACAAAGTTTCAGATAGACAGGCAGAACATATGTTTTAGACATTGCACAGAAGGATGACTATAGTCAATAACAATGTATTGCCGATGTTTCAAACATAACAAAGATTAAATTTCAATGCCTCACCATAAAAAAGTAAGCAAGCCAAAGTAATGGATAACGTCGAATGATGATTGAATAATTCCACATTGCCTATCAATCAAACATCAAATGTATTACCCTGATAGATGTATAAAATTATGATCTTTTAATTAAAACTAAACATTAATTAATAAAGCTGATAAATTTACTGATGAACGACAGTATAGTAATTTAAGCTAACATAAGGAACAGACATCTACTTGCTACCTTTGTTAATTATATTGCTTTTGAGAAAGTCCTATAATTGTACTTTCCAATACCATAGGCCATGAAGACAAATGCGTTATTTAAATTTAAAATTTATTAAAATTAAAAATTCAGTTCCTCAATGCTCAATAGTCACATGCGTGGTTAGGTGGGCTACCAAATGGGACAGAATTGATAGACTATTTCCGATCATTTAAAAAGTTGTATTGGGGGGATAGCACTGTTCTACAGTATGTACTAATGAAAACAAAAGGAAATTATTTTAAGTAAGAAAACCATATAGACAACCAGATATCATATAACCCTGAATATGCAAAGAAAGCTTCATAGATCAATTAAGTGTTACATGCTCCTCTCCCCACCATCAATAAGGTCTTGAATTTGATCCAGTTTCCTAATTAACCACCAGTTTCTAGAAAATTACAGGGATGGAAGACATCATTGGATTGAATAGGCCAAATCCCATAATGTGGAAATTCTAGTAGGACAAAAGGATATAATGTCCTCACAAATGATAATGGAAAAAAACATGGCCATGTGTTGAGAGATCTATAGATTGAACAGACTCAAGATTTTTGTATCAATCAAAATTCAACTATAGATCTGTGCTGGATTCCTGCGTTTGACCAATTGTAAAAAAAACATGTGTAAGATGATTTGGGACATTTGAACGCTAGATAGTTGATACTACAAGTACTGCTTTAAAATATATTACAGTTTGCCTCTGAAACAATATGGGTTGTTGAACCGGAGAACTTTTGAAATTTGCAACAATCGGAGAAACTCATAAGAAACTATGTAGCCTGGTGCGCCCGGGAAACCCCGTCCTCCCTTTCCCCGGTGTCAGCGCGGAGGCGCACGATGCCTGGATCACTGTAAAGACGTGAACAGCAAGGAGTTTGTCAGAGGCTCTGGCAGCCTCCTTCAAAGTCCGGAAGCTGAAATCCCAGAATGGTAGACACAGTCAAGCTGGCAACATAAAGAACTGGCTCCCTACCGATTAGAAACTGGTCTACACACGAGCTGCTTCCACAGCACGGGCACCTGTACTCCGGGCGGCGCTGGGGTTGGCTTGATGCCAAGATCTACGGGCGGACGTCAGAAGAATGGCGTCATGCCCAGCACTTCACCGAGGCTCCAAGAGTGGTCCGGCTCGCAGGTCCTCCAAGCCCTGGAGGGCTGAAAATCGGGGAAAGGATCAAGATGCGGGCCGCAAACATGACACCTCAGGACGAGCAAGAATTGGACAAGGAATTGCCGACGGTGGCCAGCTGCCAACAAGAGCATTAGAACAAAATGATGCTGGTTAATAAATTGCCTCATTCGTAAAAAAACAAACAAACAAACAAAACAAAAAAACAAAAACAAAAACGTATAAGCCTGATAAATCACAAAAACTTAAGAAAAAGTATGTCATGAATGCATAAATATATGTAGATACTAGTCTATTTTATCCATTTCTACAAAAAATATATACAAATCTATTATTAATAGTTAAATTTATCAAACTTACAGACACACTTACTTAACAGATCATACATGGTGCCACTCATAGTTGGAGAAATGTAAACAAATGTAAAAAGTATTAAATCACAACTGCATAAATTAACTATAGTACATACTGTACTACTCTAATAACTTCAGAGCCACCTCCTGTTGCTATTTGGTGAGCTGAAATTGAGAATTGAGAGATACTGGCTTAACACTGTGGGACAAACTCATACGTGACAAACACGAGGTGAGCAGTTCATCTCTCCAGAAAATTGCATACTGCAATAAAAAGTGACATCTCCCAGTTCTTGCACATTTCATGGAGTTTAGTACAATCCTATAAACCTTGGGAAACCATGCAGCCCATACAAATACCACTATATACTGGAAGTGCTCCTGATAAGCAAAGAAAAGTCATGACATTATAAGAAAAAAC